GCTACTCTGAGATATTTTAACTTTCTAGTTCTGTCTTGTTCAGAAACCTAGAATATTACTGTATGCAGGGGAAAAAAAGGATCTACAGAGATCACCAGTGTCCATGATGGTCTCTATATAGACACAGATAGCATCATCAAGGGGGCTGAGGTTGTTACGACCACCTGTTGGTGTCAGTGTCTCTACTCCTATGCTGATTTACACCACTGGACTGTTCAACCCATCAACTGAACAGCTAATTTGTTTTCACAAATACTAAATATTCCAGTCTGCTTTCAGTCTGTTTTTGTAAGGACACCGTTTCCCAGCCAAGGGAAAAAAACACCACCTTTAAACTACAGCGAACTTTTGCCCTGAGTAAGGCAAGTGTCAGCCATCAATCTGTTTTTCAGATGGCTTCACTTGCAGATGGGAATTTATTTCCTGCAGAGTTGAGGTTGGCAGGAAATAGAATGAAAAAAGAGACTTCCATGACGCCCCAAAACACGGCTTTAACAGAAAAACAGATAAATTAATTAAAATGGAAGTCTCAGAGTTATGCGAGGACAATGCCCATTTGGAAAGACGGAAGACCTCAGCAGCAGGACTTTCCAGAACACTTGTGCCTCTGGCAAAATGAGCAGAGTGCTTCACCATGGCCTCTACATTATGGTAAACAGACCTCCCACGTAGTACCATTTTCTGTCACTGGTATCTGCAGTTCTGGAACAGCCCGGGGATGGGAGAGCGCCAGCATTGCTGTGTGCTTCCTGCGTCCTGGGGATCACAGCTGTGAAGTAGAGCAGGGCGCACTTTCTGTTGCATTTCTCAAATATAGTCCTGAATGCAACTTCTGTCATTAAGAGATATTTCCTAAACAGACTCCATGCCCCCACTTTCCAGCTGATAATGATCTCCTTGTGTTTGCGCTAAGTCAACATCCTTCATCTTTGCCTTATGAGGGAAAGCTATGGCTGTGAGTGCACCAAAATTCCCTCAGCACTTGCAGATTCCTATCATAACAAACAACAGAAAGCAGCTAAGTTTGGTTTTCTTTCTTTTTTTTTTTTTTTTTTCCTTCCTTACTGAGACAAGCACTTTACTTAAAAGACAGCAGCTCCTATACCAGCTTTCTGTCTGTGCTATCTTCGAAGTACAGCCAATAGCTTATCTCTCAGACACAGCACTGAAGGAAGGAGAAACATGATGCAGCACCACCCCTTTCCGGCTCTTGGGGTAAGAAAGGGCAGGGTCCCTGTACCCTAGTGACCCCACACACCATGATAAAACACCAGTGGGCATTTCCCTGGGGCTACGAGGTGCTTGGAGTAGACTCAGCCACCTTGTCTGTACTCAGCAGCTCGCTGCAGTCCAGGAGTTACTGCTGTGGAGTTACTGGGTCTGGCCCCATCCTTGTGCTCCTGCAGTGACTGAACGAGGCTGAGTACATTCACACCACATCCAACACATCCATGCCGTACACCCAGTGCCTAATGGGATATCAAACTGGGCTTAGGAATTTGTCCTGCCACCTTCACTCAGGCAAAGCTTTTACTGGTTTACAGCGGTGTAGTGTGAAGATCTAAGCTGCAGTCTCACTGAAGTGTTCAAGTACAGTTGTTTTTCCCAGAGTTCTGAATGAAGTGTCATCACACTCCCCAACAGGGAACATTTTTTGGATAACCTTCTCAGAATGCAAAAGAAGCTGAAGCAACACTCTCCATATACACAACTATTGCATCCAGCTTCAGTTTTGCCAGCACAGCCACCTTTGGTGGCCACATGCTTGGTCTCTCCCTGCTTTCCATCCTTCCTGACCCTTTGGGAAGCCATACGGAGCCAAATCTACACTGAGACAGGGAGTGGTGATGGGGAATAAGCTCATCTTCTAGGAGCTACTAAGAGGACAACGGTGGCCTTTTCTTACCTCTTCTGCTTATATACACCTTTTCTGTAGCTCTCTAAAATTGATCTGGTCTATGAGACTCGTCCTGTCATTCTCCTTTTCACTGACAAAACAAAGAGGATAAGGAAGGCTTAAAGCTGGGACAAAGCTGAGTTGATTTAGGAAATATGAGGAAAACAAGAAAAGTGTGACAGACGAAGGGTACGAAAATGAAAGAGAAGTAAGAAAGGACCACAGAGTTTAGCACAAGGCCTGTGGAAAAACAGAAGGTACAGGGGAAGAGCAGGACTGAGAAAGGACAGTTAAGAGAACAGGGAAAGAGAAGATGGTGAATACAATAACAACAAAACCAGAAGGAGGTGGAAGACATTTTGAAGGTGGTTGTCAAGTGGTCTCAAAGGCTGTGAGTGGGAAAGAGGAAATGTGAGAAGAGGAACCTGCACTATGAGCCACGCTATGTTATTGCACAGAAAGTGGAAAGCTAAGTGCAAATGTGCACCCAAGCACTGAGGGGAACCTTGACCTTGCAGGAGCAAAGGGGATGTTGATGCCACAGAACACAATTTCACCCTTTGTTTTAAAGACACAGACGGGTTATGTGAGAAAGTTCTGGTCTTGTGGGATTCACTCCTGGTATAGGTTTCCTTCCTGATATCCACATAGCTTCTGAAGTAATTCAGTATCTCACACTCCTACATTATAATATGAAGCAGGTCGTGATTTTTTAGCTACAAAGCATTCCCCCCCCTCTTCCTTACACACATTGGGCCTGTCCCTACAGGCACAAAGGATTTATTCTTCTCTTTACAAATTACTTTACCAGCTGAGGAACTGCAATAGCTGCCAAACGCCCCAGAAGCCCAAGACCTCTGCCCCATCCCAACGAGGACTGGAACAAGAGAGGGGAGAGAGGATGCAAGTAATTTGGAAACAAGTGCTGGGAGGGCTGCAGGGGCAAGCATATCCCAGCCTCAGAAAAGCCAGCAAGGGCTCATGTAGCATGTGCCATTGCCTTCACGCTGCTGGGGCACAGCTACTAGGGCATGAGCACGTGAAGGAGAGGTGAATGTTGCTGGGGAGAGCCCCTTGTCTCTTTTCCTTCCAAACCATTTGTAAGTAAGAGCTGGCACATAAGCAAGTGAAATAATAATAAAATAATAACAATAATAATGATAATAACAATAAAATAATAATAATAATAACAACAATAACAATAATAAAATCAGAGGTTGAACCAGTTTGGGGATCGGTTCCAGTTGTAGTTTGGGTTTGCCTGCACCCAGTTATTCTCGTGCAGTCCCGGTGCACATTCAGCCACAGTTTCTGACCAACAACCCTGCTCCAGGGCTTGTTTGAGGACAAACCATGGCTGGAACGAGTTTTCTGCTTGACTCTGCTGTAGGGTGTGTGAGAGCAAATCTGGCCTTCTTTGCTTGCTTGTCCTGAAAAATGATGAATTGCAGAACTACCCCTTGGTGTTAGTCATTCAGTGAAGCAGGAAGGAAGCAGGAAGCCCTTGTGAGCACTAACTTTTCAAAGCAGTTTGCAAAGAAAGCAAAGGCCCTCCCCTAGGCTACATCATCACACACCGCTGCTTACCTCCTCACCTTAACGGCTACCTAGGCACGATTAACATTCGCAATTCATTTAGCTGGAAATATTTGCCCGGTGCAAACAGCTGAGACACTGCCAGCGAGCTGTTTCTATACGCAACACAGATCAAAAGGGGGAGGGAAGGGGAGCCCTACACTTGCTGAATGGGAGAGGCCCGACCGCGCTCAACAGGTTCAGTTCACACTGTGACCCTGCCCAGCTTCCTGCTATTCAGATGTGTTACTTCCCCTTTGTGGTAATGGCCTGTGGCAGCCGGCCAGAAAACACTATTAATTTCAGAAGTGGCCTGACAACAAACCCGCAGCGAAACGAGAGGAAGTGGCGGGGAGGCCATCTGTTGACTTCAGCAGAACAGTAGGGACGCAGCTATGTAGGTTTCTACAAGGAAAGCAGATTAATAATCCACAAAGAGGAAACTGGCTAAAATTATCCACAGACCATATTAAAAAAAAAAAAAAAAAAAAAAAAAAAAAAAGAGTCACTTGAGCTGCAGCTGGACAGGAAATTGCTAGAGCTGCTTGCAAATCTCCACTTTGAACAGAGCAGCACAGGGAATGCCAAGAGCGGAAACCGTTCAAAACTGGATTAGCACAAGCCAAGTTTAACTGCAACCCACTTCTACTTTCACAGTTTATGCACTCAATCTAGGCCACTACTGCATGAGACAGTGACTCACTTTTTTCCCATGTTTTGTTTGCTTTTCATTTCACACACTTGCAGTTGCTAAAATTACATGAAATGTGCTCCGGCTGCCAGGATCTGTGCAGAACCCCAGCTGACAGCCCAAGCTGGAGGAGCCGTCCACCTCCCTTGCACTGCACATGGGTTTTGGCACCACCCTTCTGTGGGCCACTTCTCCTTAGGAAGGATGTTAGTACATTGCAGCAGGAAGTTTTGCAATCACAAGAATCACCCTTTTCCCTCCCGCAGAGACAGGGCTGCTTGAACGGTCCAAAGAGGACGTGAGGTGACTACAGGTACGTAGAGACTTCTCCTCTGTGGCTGCACGTGCTAAATTACAACGTGGCTGAACAACGACAGAAAATCTTTCACTGGCTGCAAAGTGTTTATGGGTTTCTGGGAAATGAGTTCCTGCCAGACAGATAAGGAAAGCACAATCCCATCTCCTGTCATCCGTAATAGAGTGGCCAACACTTGTAAATAAACCCAGAAAGCAGCAGCTCCTTGATTCAAAAAAAATAAATAAAAAATAGAGATCCTTATGCATCAGGTGCATCCCTGGGGTTGCAAAGGGGTGTTGGAATATTTTGTGATTAACCTAAAGGCCTTCCAAGTCTTCCCTTCACTAAAGGCAAGAGCCCTGTATGTGTACAGTTTATTCATTTAAGCAGCAGTGGACCAAAGGGGAAAGCAAGGCTTTATTGTCTCTGGGGCTGTACAAAAGCTGTTGAAAACAATCATTACCTTTAAACAGAACCATATGTGTATGTGCCATTAACCACACCCACACAGAGGGGAGAGGAGGAATAAATGAGGCAGGTTCTCAATAGCCAAAAATAGTTATTTATTTATTAATAACTTAAGGTTTTACATTCTTATAATAAATTCCATCTTAAAACTTTTACACCATGAATTACTCTCCCTTATTGGCAACCATGTGCAGGTTCACTGTGCGTACACACAGGTACAAATGTTCGCACATACTTCCAGTTTTATACAAAAAAAAAAAAAAAAAACGAAAGAAAGAAAAAGACGCAAAATATTGCATTTGAAGTGAAGCTCCCTGAAGAATTTGTACAGAGGTAATGCACTGTTTTAGCACATCTGAAAGTTTTAAAAAGTGATCAAAAATCTTTCGCATTCAAAGACAGATCTCCTCCCAGATGATCTATTTACAAAAGGTAAGGCAAAAAAATTAATTTAATTTTAAAAATATATATATCATGTGGAAACTACAACAAGAGTGTGAGGAAAAAAAAAAAAAAAAAACACCACAAGGGAAAGAAAAATATATGAAAGAAGAGACTGTACTTGCTCACAAACTTCTCACCATTGCCGTATCTCCCCCATGGAAAGCTTGCTTCAGTTGAACCATAAAATTAAGCATGCTGCAAATATATTCTTTGCAATAATAATCATTAAAAAAAAAAAAAGAACAAACAAATAAAGCAGAGTTTATGAAGAGAACAAAAACATATATGTCCCTTGGATTGATCTCTTGAATACATGTGAATTCAAAAAAAAAAAAAATCACAAATCGACTCAAGATTAAATATTTACATTGATCAAGTAGAATACTACTGAGCTCCTGGCAAACAAGTACTCCAAATACACTAAGCTGAAATCTCTTTCTTTGGCTCCTCTAAATCAAAACCAATCAACAAACAAAATAACCAGTCTTCACTGAAGACAGAAGTGTACGCCGCAGATCCAAAAGCGCAGAGGGGAGCGGGGCAGCTCCGGTCCCAGGGAGCATGTGCTTGGCCCCGGCCAGCCTCATCCTGCCCCGCCGGGAGGCAGTGAGCGCCCACGAGCCCGCCGCGGGCATCCCAGAGAGCTCAGCGCCATCCCTCCCATCGCAGCCGCCTGCTCCATACCGCATAACCTTTCCTGGCCTGCACCAGCAGCCACTGCCTGGTACCGCAGGCCAGAAAAAGAGAAAGCTGCGCCTTCTTGATCGCTGCCGAAGAGAAACCAGTGAGGAATGATCCCATGAGACAGACAGGAGAAGGGAGGCCGCAGGCACTCACGTGGACTGCAGGGAGTCCACCTGGAAGACGTTCTGGTTGGAAGGGGTGGTGAAGTACAGCTGCTGGTTGGGCACACGATTGTCACAGGGGCTGCTCAGCCCCAGGGTCCGCTCAAAGTCCAGCAGCTGACCCATGAAGTTGAAGTTGGGAGAAATGTTGGACTTCTTCATCTTGACGATGTCATAGGCATCATTCATGGACAAGTTGAGCTTCTGCATGAGGTAGGCCACCGTCACCGTGACCGAGCGACTGATCCCTGCTAAGCAATGCACCAGGACGCCACAGTTCTTCCCCCTTGCTTCATCTGCACAGAGACAAAGAGGCAGAGAAAGACACATAAGATAGAGGGTTGGTAACTGATCTCACAGCACAAACAAGATTAGTATCGGGCAGGAAGAAAGGGCAATTCTGATCTCAGTGACTGGCAGGGTAAGGCAAGAGTTAACTTCACCGGCTTAAAACCAAGACAGGAGGTGAATCCACCCCCCTAAGCATATGCACAGGAGTCCAAGAACTGAGAAAACTAAGGAGACAAAGGGAGCAGGATACGCCGCATGACACTGTTTTAGAAGTCAGTTTTAAAAGACACTCTTTCGCTTGGAGATTTGCTTTAAATTCTTAGTCCCCTCGCCCCAGCATGGAAATCCTGCAATATGTCACTGAATGCCTTTTATACAGACCAGCAGACTGCAAAGGTCTATTAAATTATTCTCCAACTGTTGTGCAGCTAACAATGGAGGTATTCAGGCATTTTAAAAGAATGAGGGAAGTCACAGGGGACAGCCCATTAGGAGGAACAGGATGTCAACATTGGTTGAAAATGGGTTCCTTTGTAATAGGAAATGCATTACAATGCCTGGAGATTAGTTTCTTTGTGGCTTCCAGCCCACATTTCTTCCTGCTGGGCTCAGATTACCTACATTCTCCACTATTACCGGTATCATTCAACCGGATTACAGCACAGCTTCCCAACAGATAATGCGATGCCCACCCCACCGCACCCCAAGCGAGGCGGTTTTAAGACTTTGTGTCCCCCCGTCCAAGTACAAACGTGAACGAGGACTCCTCGAGCCCTGGGGAACGCGTTTCCAAAGCTGCCGGATAACGGCAAAGGGCTGCCTAGCCGAGGCACTGAGCCCGAGAGGTGTATCATTATTACCACGAGATTTAATTAAAGCCCTGACTATACATTTGCCAGGGATGCCGGTTATGAGTAAGTTGCATTTTAAAAGCTAAAATTAGCTTCCCAGAACGTTTCTTTTCATCACACTGCTCTTCAGTAGCCTCAAGAGGAGAAAGAAAAAAGAAAAAAAAAAAGAAGGGGGGGGCATAAAGCCACCAACCCCAGACTCATATGCCTTCTCCCTCTGCCCTACAATGAAATTTCAAGATATGCCCCATCCTGCACATTGCTCAGCCCCCAGCATCCACACAAATGCCTCAGGGAGGATTTCCACAGCCAGCCAAACCAGGTAGACATTTGGTACCTGCAAATGTCACTCACACCTCTCAATAAATCTGCAAACAGCACCCACCTCTCAACTTAAACCAGCTTTAGATAAATAATAATTAATTTAAAAAAAATCAGAAAGCAGGGCATACCCCAGAGACTGTGAGAAATGCTACTGCCTCTCCTCACCCCAAATCTCTTTTGAATTCTGCAAAATAAACTGACTTCTATTGCTTGCTGTGCAGCTGTTAGCAAATAACCGTGTCTCACCTATGAAGGAGATGGCCTCAGGGAAGAACTGAGACAGATTTTGGCTCCAGTGGTCAGAGATCGGGATCTGCTTGTACTTGAATTCGCCGGCGTTTTCAAAGAGATTAGGCAGGTTGGGGGTAACATTCAAGATGTATTTTATGCCAAACTCTTCTAAAACGTCCAGATTCGTGGAGTCCTTGGCACAGCCTAAGTAGAGGTAGGGTAAAATCTCCACTGGGAAGGAAGGCTGGTTGTTGGAGAGAGGGCTGCCATCGGAGTCGGTGGCACTATTGGGGTCTCTGTCAATGTCAGATTCAATATCTGATGAGGAATCAGAGCTGATTCGGAGCCCTCCTAAACCCAGGACTGGCAGCGGAGGAGAGCTGCTGCTACATGAGCTGTCTAGGTTAGTTTCGCAGTGCAGGGCAAACTCGGCCTGGAACTTGCTGAAACCACCTAAGGAGAAAAGCAAAGCGAAAAAAAAAAATGCAACCTGATATGAGACTGCATGCCCGGTACAGCTCTGCCTGCAAGGGGACATCTGTTTCCCACCCCTTCCAGACCCGGGTAAAAAAGAGGAAAACGCCACACGGCCATGCAGACGGACTAACCTAAAAGAAGGTTTTAGCAAAATCGCCCGCTGCGGCAGCGGGGGGGCTCCGGGCGGCCGCGATTAAAGCCCAGAGCCGCTTCGCCCCGCGGGGACCTCTCAGGGACGGCCGGGCGGCACCTCCTGCCGTCCTGCCCGGCTCCTGCCGGGGTCCCCGCTTACCCCGTCCTCCCCTGGCTGCTGCAGCGACCCCAGCCCCCTGGGTGTCCTTAAGCAAAGCGAGGAGAGGGGCGCTGCGGGGGGGAGGGGGGAAGCACAGGGGCAGCCCCCGACAGGCTGCGGGGCCCGGGGGTCGCTGCGGGCGCTGCCCCCCACCCCTGCTCCGCTGCTCCGGGTTCGGGGAGCTCGCCTCCCCGGCCCCCTCGCTCACCTTCCAGATAAAACGCCTTGCAGCCTTCGTCTTTGAGGCGCTTGAGGAGCAGCCCCAGCACGGACTCGCCGCCCGTGTTCTCGTTCCAGTCGCGGCTGTGCTCGTCGTACAGCACCACCGTGTCGGTGCCGCACCGGCGGGCGAAGCGCTCCCGGTCCTCCTCGCTGCTGGCGACGAGGGAGCGCAGGGGCAGGTTGCCCTTCTGCAGCCGCCGCAGCATGATGCCGGGGATGGCCACGTTGATGGCCGACTCGATGTGGGACGACTCGTACAACTCCTGCGGCCGGCAGTCCATCAGCAGCAGCCGCTCGTTGCCCATCTCCAGCTGCTCGTTCAGCCACGCCACAGATTTACTAATCGCCATTTCCGACGCGAAAGGGACGGGTCTGAGCGTATCTAGCATGAGGAAGGACGGGGGGCGCGGAGCGGGCTCTGGAAGCGCCCCTCTCTCTCACAGGGGCATGCGGCTGGCTGGCGGCGGGAGGCGGCAGCCCTCCGCCTCGCCACAACTTATCTCCCCCCGCCCCAGGGAAATGAATCACGCAGCCCCCCCGCACCGCCTCCCCCGCGCCGGGCGCCGGCGGAGCCCCGGGGAGGGCGCAGCAGCCCCGGCGGGTGCGAGCGTGTGCTGCTGGGTGCGCGCTGCCAGCCTGTCCCCGCTCTCCTCTCCTTTCTTATCTTCTCCTCTACTCTTCCCTTTCCTTTTTTTTTTTTTTTTTTTTTTTCTCAATGAATCCCTGAATGAACCTGCCTAATCGCCGCTGCAGCCCGAGAGCCTTCGGGCTTTTCCTCCTCCCCTCGTGAATGAAATCCAATTAACGTGCCGCCGAGCCGGGCTGCCCCGCTCGGCGCGGGGGCCGCTCTCCCTTCCCTCTGTCCCTCCGGCCCGCAGCCTCGTGCCCGTGCCGTGCCCAGCCCCGTGCCGTGCCGGCCGGCGCCTCCCGCAGCGCTCCCCGCGCAGCGCGCCTCAATGGGCCCGGCGGCGGCGCGCTCAATGGGGACGTCGGGCGGAGCAGCCAATGGGGGCGCGCGGAAGGGGCCTGTTGCCGCGGCGACGGGCCGGCTGGAACAGGTCGCGGTGATGAATCGGTAATGAGTTTGTCATTCACAAAAACGGAAAGGAATTTCCGCTCCGGATAAGCCGAGTGCAAACAAGCGGCGGCCGCGGCGCGGCGGGCGGAGGCCGCGGGGGCAGGTGAGGGGGCGAGGCTCTGCCCCTGCTCCCAGCAAGGCCGCCCCGGGGGGGCACCCTCCTGCCCCTCTTGCTCCCCCTCAGCGCCTTTTCTCCGAGCCCCCAGCCTGCGGGGAGCCGGCCGCGTGTCCCCCCATTATCCCCCATCGCCCCCACCACCACCCCCAGCCTGGCTCTCCCCTAGGAAGTGGGGGGGGGCAGCCCTGTCCTCAGCTGATCCCCACGGGATCCCCGCCCCCGTTAACCCCGCAGCCCCCCCCCAGACACACACACCCACAGACACGCACACACACACACAGACACACACACGTCCCCGGGTGGAGCCCCCCCCGCCGCCACCCGTCCCCCCCCGCTGTCCCCGCGGCGGGCGGAAGGAGGCTGCGGCCCCGCAGCGGGGGGGCTGCGGGAACGGGGCCCGGCGGAGCGGCGCCGGGGGAGCCGGGGCCGGAGGGGGGGCGGGAGGAGCGGCGCCGGGGGCGGCGGAGCGGGGAGCGGGGGCGGCCGGAGGCCGGGCGGGGCGGCTGCGAGGTGCGGCTTTAGCGCACGGCTGAGCGAAAAGCCAGGAGCGAAAATAAACCGGGAGAAGCCTCGAGGCTAATCCCGCTGCTGGCGGCGTCTGCCCCGGAGGAAAATCGTTCCGGTGAGGCCGGTCCCGCCGCTGCTGCGCTGCCGGGCGGTTATTTTTAACCCCGGCTGGAGGAGGCTCCTCAGGTAGCGAGCGGCTGCCGAGCAGCCCCGCGTCCCCCCGCAGAAGCCCCCAGTGATGCTGAGGGAGCTGGCACAGCACCCGCCGCAGGGTCCGGACAGGCTGACACCCAGGTGGCACCAGCGACAGCCGCCCCAGCAGGGACTTGGACAGGATCCTCGATTGCTGCTTGTTTCGAAGGCTTGTGAGCAGGGCTTCAGCGTTACATAAATTCTGCGCTGCCCCTACACGGGAGAATTTGGCCAGTGTGAGACACAGGACACTCACACCCCACCTGCTTTGTCCCACGAATTGTCGGGGCCACCGTGCCCACCACGGCCCTGACCGCTCTCCTTAAAGGGTTTCCAGGCCGGTGCTGCCAGGTGCTTCCCCTGCTCGGCTCTGTATTTCAAGGCACACTATCTAAACGTTCAGAATCGTGACAGATCAAAGCAGGAGCCTTCGTGTATTTTATTATGATTTTGATTTTTTTCCCCTCTGCTATATTTAAGCCTTTTGTTCTCACCCAGGCCAGGGCTCAGGCAGGTCAGCAAACTTCGGAGCTGGCACCATCGGTTTCTTTTCATCAGTATGGCAAATAGCACAGTCCCATGCTAAATAAATAATCGGATCATAATTTAAGTCCTACTTTTTTTCCCTTGAAATTGATACTGTGATTATTCTTTATTTTTATTCTCAAGTATAACATATCAACTTAAAATTTTACAAACTAATAAAACCCAAACCTCAGCCTTCCTATCCGTGAGTGTCAGGCTCAAGAAATTCAAAGTCTGGAAATGGAAATTTTGCAAAGCATGAGCACCTGAAATGGAAATTCCCAAACCTGCTTAATAGGGCCTTCAAGAGAGGTGCTTCTTTCTTAAGGTGCAGTATACTGCAGTGCTTGTCTTACAGCTATGTTAAACATTTCTCCTTACTCGTTTATGCCATTAATGTGTATTTTCTCGGATAATCTGCATCCCAACAATCAGAGCCACAGTCAGAAGAATCTTCAAATGACAAAAAAAAAAAAATGTCAACTTGAAAAGCAGAAGGAGTCACATCAAACAATGGTGAGTGTGACCTGAGAGTTAGAGACTGGGACACATTCAGCAGAACATTGTGACAAGTCCCAGCAAGCTCAACACAATGACAAATACAATTTGTTCCTTGTAATCCACATTGATATTAATTTACAAGTTTTTTCAGGCTTACATTGTACATTGATGATTTTTTTTTTAATGCATAGAAAAACTTCAGCATATTTTCAGAGTCTGGATTTGAAGAAGACAACAAACCCCAAATTATTTCCATCAAATACTTCCATATTCATATAAGGTAAACTTGCCTCTCTGATGACTAAAATATTTTAGGAAGAAAATACATTCTGATTATCATCTTCAGGGCATTTTCAGTGACGTTTTATGGCAGTGGTTTAAAATAAAAATCTTAGTCATTCAACATTTTAACTGAAAGCAACATATTATGCAAGCAGTTTATCAAACCCATTGAGATACCTGCCTAATATTAATCCAACAATAAATAATGATAGCATTTAAAGAGATTTTCACCATTAGCACTGTCAGATCTGATTGAAATGTTATGAATGTTAAGGTTAAGTATATGAAGGCAATAAAAATTTAGATGAAGCACGCTCAGGAGAGTTATATTTCCCAGGAGGATCTGGGGGCAGAGACTAGCTGTGAGGATGGCTATTGCCAGCTCACTGCGTGGCAACAGTTTGGGGTTGGCGTTTGCTGAGCTGAGAGACAGGCAGGAGATCCTGCTCTGCAGCAGAGTGAAACAAGTGAAACAGAAAGGACACCCTCTGTGCCAGGACTTCCCTCTGCACCACCAGCTGAAGATCACTGGAGGAGAGTGAAAGCTCCATTGTACTTTGCTGTCTTTGTGTTTGCATGCATGTGTGCCCTCGCTGTCCCTCTCTCTGGCTGAACATTGTCCCATCGGTCCCTGAAGGCATGCAGGAGTGGACCGTGCTGCCATTTGGTGCTTTATCAAAGACCATATCTACAGCCCAAGCATCACCAGGTCACTTATCCTTCAACTTCCAGAAGTTTTTATTGTACCCAGGCAGTGAAGAGAGCCTATTCCTGTTCATCATGACCCCATCATTCATACAGCCACAGGAAGAGAGAGCTTTTGAACCTTGCAATTTTTGTCTCTGAATGGTTTTTGTTTGCTTGTTTTGTTTTGTCTTGTTTCGTCTTGTCTTTTTATATCTCCCTGGCTGTGAATGAAAACTCTTCAGCCTAGCTCAAAGCATATTTATTGCAAAAAGCCTGTTTTGCTGCCTTTTTGATCAGAGACCTGCTCATTCTTTGCATGTGTAGAGGCCAAAATCTCCATAGCCTGAGCTAGCCATAGCATCTTGGCCAGAGATGGAGACAAGAGTGGAGGATGGAGATTAGAGTTCAGTGTCGCCTAGCCCAATTCCTTCATGTTTTTCCTTGTAACAGAAAACCTTGCCCTGAATTAGGCAGACAGGATTTCTACACAGTGTAATGGGAGAGAGAAGTACCAAAGAAGGTAGGTATCTATGACATCTTGAAACCAGGCCGGCTGGGCCACTGTGAGACACTTCACGGCCTGGGATGCTGAGGCAGCAGTACAGGGGCATCCTCAGGAGGCTAAGTACTGGTGAAGTTTCTTCTTGAGTTAGACACCAAGAATGGGAAAGTTTTTTTTTTAAGTGCTTTCATTCTCTAAAGATGCAGGTTCACACCTCTCTGCCATATGTTTTGGAGCAGAATTTGACAAGAGTCTGTCTTTCTATGGGAAAATGCAGGAAAAAGAAACAGTAAAGGCTTTTTTGTTCCTTTGGTCAGACCTTTCCCATGTTGCATAAATAAATATTTATGATAGCACGGAGTCCAGCCTTGGTTTTCCACATGCCACTGATGACTTGAATCAAAATGGCAGAGCGACCCTTGGTCTTGGCACTGCTTTATGTCAGGCACATGAAGTACGCTCTGAGATTGCCTGCTGCAGGAGGCCAGAGAGCACGAAACATGCTGGCGTCAGGATTTTGGTTGAGATGTGACTCAACTCAATGCTGGGTATGCAGGTGCTTGGGAAGTGTAATGGAAATATTTCACCGCTGAGAGGTCATAGCCATGAATTTCAAAGCTCTTGTCTGTCAGCCTTGGCTGAACTAGCCCGTGATGGCAGCCATTCAGCTTCAGATGTCAAAAGTTAGCTGTTCCCCTTTTAACAAGATCTTTCCCTCAATAATCACTTTCAGAGGGTCTTCAAAGAGGACAAATCATGCTATGGAGCTGCTCAGTCCCCTCCACTACCTGTAAATGGCACCTAGCATAACCAGCCCTTACTTAAGTAAGGCACTTAAGCGCCTAACTTTGAAGCCATGAGTTTTGCCTCTAGGTTTGCCTGCAAATCCCTCTCTCAGTTTCTTTTAATTTCAGTGAAGTGAGAATTAGCAGCCTGTCTGTGTTGGCTTGTGTGAATGATCTATTTGAGCATAGAAATATACAAATCACCATAGACTAAACCGGCCATAAAATAGAGTGCCTTTGGTGCAAAGGCGGTTAGTGCAGGGTGCCGCAAAGGGAGAACCAAAGCGCCCTATAAAGCATTTTACTTGTTTTATGCAAAGCACAAACAATTTATGGAAATGGTATTTCACTGATTATTCAATGTCCAATTATTCACAACTAAAATAATTCCTGAAGTTGGAGAAATAAAACACTGAATGACTCCATTTAGGAAATCCTTTTGACTCAAGTGCTTTCCTTGAAACAGCAAATAGCTGGATGACCTCAAGCACATATTTAATTGTGCCTTGTAATAAAGTAGCGTAATTAGCAATTACTTAGGAATGATGCTTTTAAATACTTAACAGCTACTACAGAAATGCATTTATTCAAGAGATTTTGTTTTCTTTTGAATTCTAGGACAAAGTAAAAGTTTCCATCTGAATGTAGCTCATACCTGAGTTCCTCAAATTGTTCCCCAGGGTGTGTAAAGGTAAGCAGTTTTATTTGACAGCAGATCTCTAACGGCTGTAGGGCTCTCCTTTCTTAGAGGATAAAACTAAGCTTGCAAGAGGGCAGTACAAGGCATGCATTTTTTTTTATTTTTTTTTTTTAGGTACCGCCTTTAGTGGCAGGTTTGGTGGCATTCACCTGTGTACCACTTCATAATGGTTTATGTTCTGCTGGCAACAGAAACATGACACAGGTGGGTAGCTCTGCCTTGAAAACAACAGACATGAAGAGAACAGAAGGCTAGGTGTCCATACTTTTATAAATAATTACATGTTATTTTGAAAGCTTTCAAGTAAAAAAAGAAAATAAAAACAAAAAAATGTATAAAGGAGGCAAAAAAGAGAAGCAGACTAAGATCCAAAGGGGATACTAGGGCAGTGATTGCGAGAAAATACTGATATGCCCTTACATTTGGTAGCAGTAATAAATTAATAAATTAGCTTACAAGTTGGAATCCAGATTTGTATGATTCTGTTACCTGTGCAGAGGAAAACAGCAATTCCTATTCAAAAATCTTGATCTGCATTGCAGGAATATCCTGTGGTTCATACAGGGCCAACAGCGTGGTTATATTATTCCTCTGCCAATGCCAAAGATTTCAGTAGTGTCCGAAATGTTCCCTTGTTCTGTGTGTCGGTGTGTTTTTCTCTGACGTTGCCTGCTATGCAGGGGCAGCCTATGTCATGCTATACTGGGCACACACATCACAACAGATGAGGCTGCTCAGAAAATGCTATAATCTCTTTAGTGCAGCCCATTTTGATGTGCTTGGAAAGCTTTATTAGGCACTAGCACGTGGGCTTACCTGGGGAAGCATTAGTGCTATCGCTACAGCGTGTGACTGCACTAGCACAGTCCCATTTTCATCCAGTTCACTCATCCCATCACTCATCCCACAAGGAAGTAAACCTGACAGCATCAAGCAAGTGTAGAAAGCAACTCTCTGTTCCCAACTCTAAAAATTTATTTTCCTCCTCACTTGCAAAGTCCCCAGTCCCACTTCTCTCTCCAGTCACTTGCTCTGACCATGGGAATAAAGCCTGGGATGACTGAAGGCTTTTTCTAGACTGTGAAAGGAGTAAACAGACACTTTGCACAGTGCAGGTTAAATCAACTGTGCAGAGAGCAGAGCAGGGACAGCAAATTACATAAGAAAAAGATTTTCATCCTGGGATGGGCATATTCAGGAAAAGAAACACAGCACAGCTATCTCATGTTCTGGTTCCAAAGAGAGGCAATTAGGAGCCTAACCGAGGCATGAACAATTCAATTTCCGCTGCCTGTTTTTTATATGGCCACTGGAATGTGTCCTGGGGACCTGGTGGAGCTGAGCACACAGTTTGGCTCCAGGATGTCACAGGGATAGGCAAGTGGATAGATATATGTCCTGGCACCTGCAGCCCCCATTTAGCACGTTTGCTTTACTTTTCACAGATGTAACCCCCATGGGGACCTTTCCCAGGCCATGCAGTACCTGCACCAAATGGAAAGCACTGACTGAGGCAAGAATTTCCTTACTGCTGGGCCTGGGGGTTCCCTAGATGCCTAGATGCTCCCTAATGCTTCCCTAGATGTTTCCTGCTGCTGCCAAATGCACTTTGGTAAAATTTATTGAGGGGAAGCACCAAACTGGTGATCTGATGGAGATGCTAAAACATCCTACTCGGTTAAAAAAAAAAAAAAAAGAGCTCAAATCACATGCTGAATTGGCAGCACCAGTGGAGTTGCTGGCATGAAGGGGACAGCATGTGACTGGTCCATGCGTGTTTGTGTCCTGAGATGCAAGAGTCTGACTTTCTGGTGTAGTTTGATATATTTCCCCCCACTGCCAAGTAAGTAGTGGGTGATAAAAGAAAAACTGCCAAACAGTGGTGTCAAGGGGTCACCACACCTCCTAATTCCCACAGACCCACCTACTGATTTCTTTTTATCTGGAAGTCTGAGAGACCTTGGTTGGTAGAAGAGGGAAAACAGTAGAAAGAATTTGTAGATAGAAAAAGTGTGGAAAGGATAATGCACTAAACATGGAGCAGCACTTGAAATGTCAGGGTCAGTACTGGGTTGGGCATGTTACTATGAAAGTATATGTTTATAGTCCCTCTAAAAGGCATACACTCAAAGTATGGACAGAAATGGTATGGTAGTTATTTCTGCATCCCTGATCCAGCATTTAAGAGCTTTGCAGTATACAACATACCTTGAAGATTGGGAGTGTATAAGTGTAATTTCTGCAAACATTGACAAGAGAATTCTTGATGGTTTTTACCTTCACTTTACCGTGCCTAGATATTGATGAGGACATTGTGGTAGAACTGGCCCATCTAAATACCAGGTTGTCGCTTAGCATGTCAGAGCAGTACAGTGTGATGATCACAGTGCTGCTTGTGGTCACAGCTCATCTTACTCATTTGGTGCACAGTGCCACCAGAGCACCACAAAGGTAAATTGTATTAAATTACTACTTTCTCTGAACAGGTTTATAGTGTAGCTGTGAAATATAAACTATTTTCACAAAGCTTCCCATTCTGGCTAAACTGTGCAGCTAAATCTCTCTTCGAGAGTTGACAAGAGGTTGGTGTACAGTTGTCTACACCCCTGTGCTTTCCAGTGATGCACTGGAGCCTCCCTGCTCTCTCTTAGTGGTTTTCTTCAGTATCTCTTATAAATCGTTTTTGGTTTGGTTTGGTTTGGTTTGGTTTTCTTTCAGTCCCATTTTGCATCAGTCTATTTCATGTCATGGCAGATCAGAGGAATCAAACATTTCTGAACCACAATGGATGCTTCTTCCCATTATGGATGGGCAGGATCCTCAAGAAATGGATGATCCTTTTTTTTTTTTTTTTTTTTTTTTTTTTTTTCCTGAGGGAACTGTAACTTCTTGAATCAGGGAAATCACATTAGAATTACGCTATGGATGATGTATCCTAGATGGTTAGGTCCTCAGATACGTAGAGGAACGCTTAGTGAGTCAGCCCTGCAATTTTTGGTGGAGTAGGTCTATTCCGGTGTGTGGGTGTTCACAGAACAATTACGTAAGTGTCAGGGTAGCGAGGAACTTTTGACATTTCTGGCAGCTTAACTGAGTTCTTTTCAGTCAAAAATACTCTAATTGTTGTTCTCTTGCATTAAACACACATCATTCCCTTAACTGGATTGGGGGGGGGGAACATTTTTTGAAGCATCACTTGTCAGGGCAAGATATTGGAGCAGTTTTATTCCTGAGAAAACAGGAGATTTTTCACAGTTACAGTGAGACGAACATTTGTGAGAACCGTTTTAAATCATATAAGAGGGTGCGAAAGTTGCCATGCCATATGCCTGGAATTTACTATGGTAGAGTTAATTGCTGCCACTGAATGTAAGGGCCCGTCAGCTTTTTCATCATCACACCCACCCTCAACACCTTTTTTTCTTCCCTTTTTTGACTTTAAATTTGCCTGTCTTTTTTGCCTGTATAGTTTTTGAGCTGCAGAATGATAATGCAACCTCCAAGCTAACTCTCTGAACACCTTACATCCTGTATTCAAGGTGAATAGGTTAGGTACCCCACTGACGCAGGGTGGATTAAATTCCAAGGTGACTGCTCTTCTACATGTATTACACTGGGAAACAAGGAAAACTGGTTTGTCTCCCAAGAGCAAGATACCTAAATTAGTCAAACTAAATCAGTGTCCAAATGACATTTTCAGGGAAGATTTCTCTCTAAAGATCAGTTAGGAAAGAAACAAAATATGATAACCATTTTCTTTCTTGTTTGATCCAAGTTGCACCACAAAGCTTCCATCAAACTAACCAATTCTTTTTTTTTTTTTTTTTTTTTTCCTCTGGATAAATATTACATCTTTCAAGTGATCATGACATTGAAACCCTGTCTATTCTTCTACATGGTGCCATAGTGAGGCAGGTCACAACTCTGAATGGTGCTGGGCATCCAGCTGACATGCCTGAGTGATCATCTGGCAAAACAGCATTAGTCCATGGCTACTGGAGAGTCAGCAGAGGGATGTAGGATGTTTTCCACCTTAAAAAAAATAAAAATAAAAAAGTGTATTTTCTGTCGTCAGGCACAGAGAAGGGCTCTGTTACCTGTTCTCTGGGGACAGAGGGAGAACTGGACCTGTATGGGGGTGCTTGTCCACATTGGCTATGTTAGGAAGTCCTCACTGAGACTGGAAGTACATGAGATGAGAGCCGTGACAGTGACCAGTGACAGTTCATGATGAGGAATCACTGAGATAACCTGTGTTCTTTGGGCTCCAACCAATTTAGTTTTGGCCAAGAATTTTCCCAATTAGTGAGGACAACTTCAGCCTGGGTGTTCCGGCTTACTGATATGTACATTATGCCAGCTCAGACTCTTAGCATAAGGGGGTTCATTTTATCACTTGCCTCTGAAATTCACAGATTCAAAGTCTGAATCTGCAATCACTGCAATAATCTAATTGATTCTCAAAAAAATTAGAAAATTCTGGAGATCCGCAGTGTGGATTTATATCACTTGTATCCTGGTGGACTGAAGGGATTCATTGTTCTGGTGTGTGCAGGAGAAATTGCTTAAATCCAATGAGCAAAAACAAAGGGACTCTCAGTGCCTCATACTTCCTCTCCAGGATTTGTGTGAAGTAAATAAAGGAACTAAGCCTTCTGCAGTGAGTGCTCGGTTTGAGAGCACTCTTCACTCCAGCTCAGTGCTTTCAACTGCCACCCGTGTCAATTCACGTAGTTACGCTGGGAAAATTGGAGGCAAATAAGATGGAGTTCTTGCATACCAAGAGCTCTCTATGCTCACTGATAAAATTTGTCTCTCCTAGGTTCAGACACAGACTAATTATTTAAAAATAATTGCTCCCACTCCTTTGAGACCCATTGACAGCGCGTGAGATGCCTCTGCTATGTCATGTAGGCATGAAGTGTTACATCCTCATAGGGAGAGGTCACCTACCCCAGTGCTCAGCATGTGAGCAATGACAGCCAGGGCAACCTCCTGAATGTACAACAGAATATATTCTTTAAAGGGTTTTATTAGCTGTGTTGTTTTTTTTTCTTCCTGAAAATCTACAAAAATAAATGCATGAATGCCGTGTTATTAACTACTAAAGCTAGGAGATATATTGCTATGGGAAAATACTGATTACAATCTACTAATTGTCAGATGCAAATCTGCTGCTCTCCGCTGAGGAAGTATCGCTTTATTCAATCACTTGGCTGAT